AAAGAACTTTGAGACCCAGGTTATACCGCGCAGACAGATACCATTCCGAAAAAGAAACTCACGCGGCACCTTCTGTAGCTATAAAAGCGAAACATGTAAAAAATCAAAATCCTTAGTTTCGTTGACTTATCTGCCAGAGCGACCCTGCAAACGTAACCCTAAAAAAATATTTTTTCGTCAAGACTATATAGGGGTGGGCCCTTATACAGGGGAACCGCGATATAAAGAACCTACGAATAATTTACTTTACCTCGATAATAGTAAAATATGCCGTAAAACCTATATTAAAGCCCCCTGTCAAATAACCCCCCTCCCTCTGATTAGCCCCCTTCTATCAAGCACCCGCTTCCCACCCGTAATTATTCTTCACTAATAAATGAAAGACTGTATTAATAAATCACGACCGTAAAGGCCTCGTGTGGACTGATCCGGGATTGTTTATTTACCAACGGGAAGTTCGGATTTGATAATGATTTTCGACTGCATGACCTAAAACCTCCTGTACTTGAGCTTTTCCACTTTGTAGGCTTTATGGAGAAGCGATACCATCTTAGTTTCTAAATTAAACATATTAAGCCCCCCGTCTCTATTAAGCCCCTCCCCCTCAAATGAGCTTGAAATAATAAGCCCCCCGGGGGAGCTTAATAGAGGATTTACGGTATGAAAAAAAAAACCTCGATATAACGATACCTCGTTATAGCGAGCAAATTTCAGGGGCACTCAACGACTCTTTTCTGTAAAATATATCATGGGAGAAGTAGATATTGCCTAGAATTTTCTATAGCTTGAGGACGCCTAAAAATTTCTAGACGACCGTTCCGTTCCTGTTCAATTTTCGAAGGTTATCTTATAAATTCCCTACGATTTTCTGAAGTTTAATTTTTCAAATTTTACATCCCAGGTTAGGCTAATTTTTCATAGAAAAGAGGAAGCCTAAAATGGTCGGATTCAAACATGTGATTGAGAGAGGAATCAGAAAAATTCTCACTTTCGTGATACGTTAAATTGCATCTAAAATTTTTGGGAAAATAATCCTGAAGCCCTTGTAATTTCAAAAATGCTCAATGCAAGTTTCCCTAGGATGACCGAACAGGAACAAATTTTACAAGCCGCTTAGAATGCATTTCTAGAGATCTAAAAGTACTCTGGGTACACCATTGAAAAATGTTTTCAATGAATTTAGAAGGAAACCGTCGTTGGGTGGCTCAGAAATTTTTTTAGGCCCTTGGCCCTTCGTTAAATCAAGGTTCCACCGTAGTCTTTTGTTTTCATCACGCTCGTTTTAAAATACGATTATGAATTCCTTACTTGTATTCTTAGGAAAAAGCGCTCAGTCGTAGTCTAAAATGTCATCCGTCCCTTCCCTCCACCCCCTAAGGGGCCACGGCAGGTTTCGGGGTGGGGCGAAGGCACGCATAACACTTCAGACTAGACATGGCGGGGCTAAAAAACCTGCATAACCTTATAGCACCTCTTGTGTTTAAATTTTCTGTAGTTCTGGCAAACTCGAACAAGTTTTGCATTTCTGAGGAACGTTTTGCCAAAATATAGGTTATGGCACATGTCAAGCCAGAGAAAGTGAGCAGTTTGATAGAAAATGTCAAGTACGACTGAACAACGCCCGTAAAAGCGCCCCTTATGACTCGGGCGGAGGGGAGGCTGGGTGGGGAAGGAAACTCTGAAATTGAGCAAAGAGGACCTAGCTCTAAGCACACCGTCTGCTTTTTAGTTGTCCGTTTCCCTTGGCAATAAATTTTACCCACAGTGTCGAGCAACTCTTTAAAGGAGATTGCAAGCCCTTATATTTGGGCCCGTCAGGAACGCTCAGCGGTGAAACCAAAGATCGCGGCCTCAAAAACTTATTTTAACTTACTGAAAGCTGTTTTTCTTGACCTATTTAACTTATCGTTAGGAAAGAAGAAAAGGAATCTCATAATTAGCGTATGTATAAAACTATCAAGAAATCTCGAAATTCTGGGTTTTCTAAGAGAACAAATACTTTCGAAAAATTTAGGAGAAAGTCCGTGGACTGGAAATAACTCGCTATCAATTATCCCGAAGATATCCGAATATCTCACTTTTCAAGCCCACGTTAATTCGCTTCATTTTTGAGGGGAGCCAACATTAGCCGCGCCACTGTTATTTTTTTTTGCGCCTGGGTATCTCACGTTATGCTTACGCGTATCCGCAAGTGTGTCTTACATCCTACGCTTACGTAAAGGTTATATACCTGGAACGATGGGGTATGTGATATATTCACCTGGTACCGCCCCGAGGGCTACGTGTGTAAGACTGTTCCTTTTCAGATTTTCAATAGCAATGCAAAAAACAATAGCTTTTAGTTAGTGCGAACGGCCTTTCCTTCTCTTTTATTTTCGTTTCCTTTTTTTTCTCAAAAAAATGCAGTTTTTTTTTTCAAGGTGCGAGGGGCGCGATCATTGGTTTCACTGCTCCAGCGTTCCAGATGGACGCAACTATACGGCTTGCAATCTTCTTTAAAGAGTTGCTCAAAAATATGAGCGAAATTTATCTGCAAGGCAGACTCACAGCTAAAGCGCAGACGGTATGGTTAGACCTAGGTCCCCTTAGCTCCATTTCAAAATTCCCCCCCTCCCCCTGCCAGAATCATTAGGGGCGCTTATACGGGCGCGGTTCAGTCGTACTTGACATTTTCTATCAAACTGCTCACTTTTTTCTGGCTTGACATAAGCCTATATTTTTCCCAAACGTTGCTCAGAAATGCAAAACTTGCTCGAGATTGCCAGAACTACTGAAAGCTTTGCTTTTAACACCAGAGGTGCTCTAAAATTATGCAGGTTTTCTAGCCCCGCTATGTCCAGTTTGAAATGTTCTGCGTTTCTTCGCCCCACCCCAAAACGGGCTGCCGCCCCTTAGGGGGTGGAGGGAAGGGACGGATGACATTTAAGACTAGGAATTAGCACTTTTTTCCCCCTAAATGTCATTTTTCTAAGGATACAAGTAAGGAATTCATAATCGTATTTCAAAATGTGTAAGCAGGCGTTTATGGAAAGTAAGAGAATATAAGGGCCAACCACTTCATAGTCTGTTGTGGAAAATATGTTTTTTCAGTCTTACGTTTTCATAATCGCTCTAGCGGATAAGTCAGTGAAACTAAAGATTTTGATTATTTACATGTTTTGCTTTTATAGTTACAGAAGGCACCGCGTGAGTGTCTTTTTCGGAATGGTATCTGTCTTCAACCTGGGTCTCAAAGTCCTTTGTCACGCAATCTCATTTCGTTAAAGGCAGTAAAGGATTCGGTTCTGTTGTCAAATAATGTGAGGTAGGTCAAAACGTTTTCCTTTTTTATAGCTATAACGATTTGGTTCATGAGAAATGAGAGCATTTTAAAGAATAGCTACTGACACTAAAGCCGTTTTGTAGATATATGATAACAGTTACAGATACGGCAAAAGTAAACAAATACGCACGTAAAGGAAGTGTTGTAGTCAAGAAGTTCATAGCACACTTTCGCACAATAAAATTGCTTTTCCTTTTGAAAATTTACCACTGTGAAATCTAAAATCGCTTTTGGTGTTTAAACGGGCGGAAAAGGGGCTAATTTGCGCCAGAGTTTCAAGTGTTGTCTAAGTTCTCGCTTGTATTCATCAAAACAACTGCAAGTTCAGAGGTCGTAAATCACGCGAGTACCGTAAATGTTTTCCGTTGTAAAAACTCGCAGTTTCAATTGCCCCAGAATTTTATTTCACAGATTGATAGGGGAAACATTGCTCTTTCTCTGGAATACCATTTTTCTAATGAAAGCCATGTACCAGGAAGGGATTTTCGCCGTTGAAAAATGGCAAAATTGATGGTCGCGATAATGCTGATTTAGAGGGTAATTTTGAAAAAATATTAAAAAATCAGATTGAAATCTTTTGAAATTGTAACAACGTTTAGGTAGAAAGGAAGGATCATAACGTTGTTTAATGTAAGAAAAGTTATGGTATTAGTTTCCGTTTCCATTCACAAAGCGAGGGTATCAAGCACATTTTTCGGTGGTTTGAAGGCCTCTCGAAGGTGAAAATTAAAAAAAATTATTATTTTGGAAAATATTGAGTCAAACGATCTGAGTCTTGTATTTTCTAAAATAGTTTCCAAAGGGCTTTGTTGTGACAAAGTTTGGGGGATTTCGATTTTTCCATCTTGCACACCTATCCGTGGTATTTACAGAAAGTCGCTCTTAAACAGCAGTAGTTTGGTTCCCCGTATTCAGCGTTCAACTTTTTTTAGTTAAACTTCACGAAGACTTCAAACGTCACTGCTTTCTACAGCTCAGTGTAATTCGGCCAAAACCACTTACTACATTATAGTACTTATATAAGTTAACCAATCTTGCTTTTGATTTATCAGGGTCCTGATATGATAATGTTATGCGACAAGTGCCTTCAGCTCAGTACTTAAGAACCCTGGAGTAAAACACTGTGAAAATGGCGAAGTTTAGTATACTTTTGCCCTCATTTTTCTTGCAATAGGGGAAAAATACTCATGAAATTCGGCTCGTATTTTCGAGAAATTTTAAAAGTAAGCACGAAAATTATTCATGATAATATCGCTTTAGATAAGGCAGTGTTAGCTTCAGCCCCAACCCGTATCATTACAGAATGAAGGCTTCCTTCTATGTCTTACCTACTACAATATTAGTTGTACCGTTCACCCAAAACGTTTTCCACGGTTCATCTTCTGTGGAGGAAGAGAAAAGAAAAATGAATGACTTCTCTTTTAGGTCTGCTTTCGTACATGTACATGGGAGCAGAATTTTTTCCAAAGATAAAACAACAACAGCGACAACAAAAACTGTTTATTGTAATCGTTCGCTCTTTTCATAGACTGGCAAGAATACACAAAGGGTTAGAAATTGCGTTTCCGGTTCCTCCAACCTGGGATTCCTGTGACTGACTGCTCATCGTTCTCAGTTTTTCTCGGTCAATGTCACAAACGTTCGGTGTTCGGTGTTCGGTGTTCGGTGTTCGGTGTTCCGGCCGGCGAGGACAGAGAGTGAAATCGTAGCTTTTTCTGTAATGTAATAAGCCTATGCATAATTGAGTTGGTATGAAGATCCAAGGAAGTGTAGCCATTGTCACAGGAGGAGCACAAGGAATCGGGAAGCATATTTGCAGAGCGCTCTTGTCAAGAGGTGGTAAAGTAAGCGTCACTGCAGGGTCTTGTTGTTTAGAATTGTTTACATTGTGAAACAACTGAGAGCAGCGGAGATATGTGCTTGAATTGTGAGTCATGCAAGCGCAAGGAGGCATAGAAATTATTTATTTCTTTTTGTTTTTTTGGATCCATGGCTGAAAGTGACAGGGATGCTCGTCGGAAAATTAAAATTAAATCCCTAAGGGAGACCAATGTAGGTGTGGCTTTTGAACCTAAAGGAGACAAAGGGAAAACAGATGTAACAACATTTTTTGAAACTTTCCTTATGTGTAGTCCTAAAAGATACCTGAATGGGCAAATATATTGACTTTCCCTCCCAACAACCATATGTGAGACCAAAATCTGCAATTTACACCCCTAAAACAGACGACGAGCATCACTTTTATATGGAAGTCTCCCCTTCCGGGGGCTCCCTTCTCTACAATTAAAAAACACTGGGACAAGTCTAGTCAAAAGGAACTACTGGTCTTGAACTGTAAGCTTAGAACAAAAATAATAATAATACAAAACAACAACGACAACAACAACCAAAAAAACTAAGACATGTAACTAAGATATTCTCCCTTCTTTGTGCTTACTCCTTCCTTTTGGCAAAACAAGGAGGTAAATGACCACCACCCACCTGGTGGTGGTCTCCCTCACAGCCATATTTTGGATGTCACGCAACGTTAATGTTGCATGACATCCAAAAAACGGCTGCGAAGGGAGACTAACCTGATGGTGACCTAATGACCTATTTTATAGGCAGATGATATTGCTGTCTTGAGTTGAAGTAGATTTTGTCACAGATTTAAAATCACACAAACTGAGTGTTCTTCAAAAAACATGTGACTGGTCGCCCTTTGCATCCTATAGAAAGTAAGAGGTAGCAGCATCACTGTAATATCTTCAAATCTTTAACATTATTTGAGGTGTGTACATGTGCGCTGGGACAGATCACTTTGCCTGTACCTAAACAAGATGTTGAACATCCTACCCATGTGGAACTGGAGTTCTTTCCCCCAATCTTGTACCCAGATCTCATGCTGAGAGAATTTGATTGAAGCATATGCTCTTACATCACTTGTCACATTCCTTACAGGTGATCTGCATGTGCACAAATATGTGCACAAATTTATCTGATTTGACCAGATCTCACTTTTGGCTTTAATTTGTTGACAAGAGGACTGGGTATGAAATTAACGGTAATAAATCCGTGTTCTCCAACACGAATACAAAAAATCCAACCCACCTACAAAGTGATTAATTGAACTAATAAACCGTGGAAACAAATTATGAGATTTGTGACTTTTTGGAATCATCAAATGTTTAGGTTGCAATATTTGATGTAGACCAAGAGAAAGGAACACAACTACAAGAAAGACTGCAAAAGCAATATGGAACAGGAGAAGTAAAGTTTATCACCTGTGATGTTACATCAGAATCGCAGATGACGGGTGAATAGCATTTCAGATTTAAATTCTGAGAAATAAGTTAGTCAAGATCTTTTTGCTATAAAAAGACATGATTTAAAATTGATTTTGCAGGAGATTATTAAAACTTCTTTAATCTTATATTAAGAATAGGTGAGTTGGAGCTGAAGGGTTCTTGTTCAGATGATGAAACCACAAATTATTACAACTTTCAGTCAAAGTGTAGCCCTTAATATTATTGCCATAGCTTAATTATTAAGCTATGGCAAATGTGAAAGTCTGATGAAGTACATTACAATAGAACTGAGGCTGCAGGCTTGCTCATTCAGTTGACAAAAGCTTTGGATTGCAGAGTGGGGGGTTAAGGGTTCAGTCCCTTGAGTGACTAGTTGTCCATTGTCCAGGGAAAACAAAGGAGGGTCATCACAAGAGACTATACCTTCATGTGCGTGGCTCAATAAAATCTTGGCCACATTCTTGGCTCCTTCAGTTGACAAAAGCTTTGGATTGCAGAGTGGAAGGTTAAGGGTTCAATCCTTTGAGGGACTAGTTTTCCATTGTCCAGGGAAAACAAAGGAGGGTCGTCATTTGCTCAGGAAGAGGCTATATACCTTCATGCGTGTGGCTCAATAAAATCTTGGCCACATTAAACTGGTGGTAGTCCTTTCTCCAGTAGTGAAGAGGTCATCACATTAAGTGCCTTCATGGTTATTTACATCGTACTTGACTAAAGTAGAGTATCTTCTATATATGCAGTCAATGATGTAAATGTCACATCTTTTTTCAGAAATTTCCAGAAATAGAAAGCCTTAGTATACATAATCCTGCCACAAGTTTACTCTAAAATCAGATATTTTGATATTGATCAATGTTTTTTTCTTTCTTCTTGCTTCATGGAAAGATTCATTCAAGAAGACAAAGGAAGCATTTGGACAGATAAACATTGTTTGCAATAATGCTGGCATAGGTGCTTTAAATGAAGGGGCATGTTGGGAAAGAGTAGTGGATATCAATCTGGTAATAATATAAACCCTTTGTCTGTACCTCAGTTATTGCTGGTGAATGTTAGCAAGACAGCATAATGCTCTTTATTTAGGATAAAAGTTAAACCAAAATTTTTGTTGAAAGCAGTGCAGGAATTTTAGAACAAAGGAAAATTTACTAAGCAGGCTACAAATTCATTTAAGCTCTTACACCATTTACATCTTCTAGATACCAGTACACACACTTTCATGTTGATTTTAATCTCCTAAATTAAACTGATAACTGAAGATGATTTTAAAAGAATTTTTCAGGGAATTTCTGAAATTTCTAAATTTTATTCTTCAGAAAGGTGTGATTCGTGGCCAGTTACTGGGAATTCAACATATGGGATGGTCACATGGCGGAACAGGAGGAGCTATAGTCAATGTAGCATCATTAGCAGGTGCGCGCTGCTGTATATTTAAATAATAAATCATAATAGACCCATAAGTACATAGTATCCTAATTTTCAGCCACAGGTAGCCCAAGCTCAAACTCAAACTAATGAGTGATAAGATATAATATTGCAAAATAGCATTCATGACAAATGAAATGAAATGAAAAAAGGATACATCAATTGGCTTGGTGTCAGCATTGAATTTGTGGCAGCTGGAACATTTTAAGCCAAGGATCTTTCGCCTCTCACATCAGCATTCCAAACTGGAATTATGTGCAGCCATGTCCTTTTTCTTAGAGAGAGAAACTGACGAAGCTTAAACTTGTCAAAGTCACCTTCAATCAGGAAAGAAAGGGCAAAGACGGCAAGTAACCATGGTATTTTTATTGTATGAGGTATTTTTCTTGAGAATTCTATTGTATTTATGTTTTCTAAAGTATATTGTAAATATTCCCATACAAACCCTTATATTTTTGCCATGAATGCTATTTGGTAATAATTATTATCTCCAATGACTCACATCTTGAGCTTAGGCTAGGGCTGCAGTTTTAGCTTCATTTCAAATGAAATTTGGATCTGCGCTCAATAACGTTTGCGGATTTGTGAGTCACAATCATTTTACATATTTATGTACCTATACTTTTGTTCCTACCGGTGATTTATTTATATAATTTATTACCTTTTGTCTGTTACCCCAACACAGCTATTCTTCCAATGGGAAGCTGGCAAGCGGTGTACACTGCCACAAAATCTGGCGTAATGGCACTTTCAAAGAGCTGTAAGGTCAGTAAACTATGGATGATAATATTATTTTTAGACCAGGCAACATCTTATTAGGCAACATTTATGTTAACTGTCTTACAGCAAATTTGCAGTGTTTGGATACTTTTGGTGGTTAGCTTGAAAGCAATTTTCCATTGTACACTTTTCCCAAAAATGTGTTGTCCATTCTTCTCTACAAAAATACATAAAAGTAATGGACACAGATAAAATGGAACGACATTTGTCATTGATTTCTGTGTGACACCATTTTATCAAGCAGGGGCCTTTTTCTTGCAAATCCCCGTAGAAAAGGATATTTCATGTTTGCATGTCATCTAATCCACTTTTATGTTACCCAACTTGTAATTTCCGATGTGGCTTAGCTTTTAAACTCACATAATCTATATATAGTTTGGGGTACGCTGCTTTACAACCAAAACTGTCCAAAACTCCAGATAAGTTTGAAAAGCAACTTTATTTCCATGTTTAGGAACACCATCCAGCTAATCCGGATTAAACTCGAAAAACAGGAGTTGCAAGTCATTTTGGAGCCTTTTATTTCTTGAGTGTTTTACGGAAATTTCAACCATTGTTTCGTTTTCTATAAATTAAGAAACTGCTCATTGGTGGAACAACTTATATAAACACCAATGAAATACCAAGTGAGCTTTCGTGTGAAAACTTGATATCCTCACATGTAAAAATATCACCATTGCTATGGCTTCATAATAAACCACACCTTTCAGACCAAAAAACTATTTCAGTAAAATGGTTTGGCATTTCATTGGTATTTATATAATAAATAGAACATTACATGGTTGCTTGGAGAATATTTTTCAACACTCGAAGAGAAATTTTGTATCTCGGCGCGGCCATGTAATATCCTCTATTTATTGTTATTATTAGTAGTATTAAATAGTATTACTATTAAATTTGGGTAATAATTCGTCTTTGATAGGATCTCAAAGAAACAGAAGGAATAAGAGTAAACTGTATCTGCCCTGGCTTCACAAATACAAAGATGGTAAAGAATCCACAATTTTTGGCTAGTGAATCTTCATACAGAGAAAAAGACATCATTTCCAAGCTTGGTTTGATCAGGTGAGGTCACAGGCAACCACAGAAACTTTGAAGTGAGAGCCAGCCCTAATAAATGTGGCAGGGCAGTGCACTGGTACACCTCAACTCAGATTCATATAGCTAATATTAGCTCACAGGTTGCTTAAAACAGATTATTATTCATTCAAAATATTTCCCTGATTCTGATTGGCTAAAAGCACACGCATAGTTCACTATAAAAAGTTTCTGATGACAACATTTGGAAGAATTTTGTGTTTCACGAGGAAAGGATGTCAAAAATGCAGCGTTCGTGCAGGTTAAGGCACCGGTAACCGAGAAGACCTGGGGACGAGGTTGACTTGTTTTGATTGTGAAAACGAAAAATGGCGGACATTTCACTCATTTCAAGAGTAAGAACTAGGCGAAAAATAGCTAAAAACATGGCCAGAACAGCAAGAAGACAACTCGAAGGGCGAAATCTGCTATTTGAAGAATATTTGCGGAGCTGGACAAACTTAAACGTGCACTATCGAAGATGAACTTAACATCGATGGATCGATGGAGGTAAGCATGTTTTAGCCATGTTTTTAAACTAGGAATTATTTTGAATGTATAATAAAACAATTATTGAATTCAGCTTTCGTATCATATGAAGAATTATGGAGATCTCGGAGGGTGTTATCCATCGAGGCCCCATAACACCCTCCTCGATCTCCATAATTCTTCATAAGATACTCAGCCTCATTCATTAATTGTTGAATATAGCATTGATTGAAGGCACGTTAAATTTGTCTTATAATAAAAGTAACAAGGTATCAACCTCGTTCCCAGGGTTCTCTCCTACCCGCCCTATGTAGGGCGGGTAGGAGAGAACCCTGGGAACGAGGTTGACAAGGTATAGTCTTACCTTCTAACAGTCTACGAATACAGCTGCCTCATATCTTGGCCTCTCTCAAGACACATTTGCCGAGAGAGACCAAATTGCAGACCTCTCTCTTGAGTAATGTCACAGCAACATGAGACAACAGACAGACAAACAGAAATGAAGTCAAACAGACAGCTGAGCAGGGAAGCAAACAGGCAGATTGCATAGAAGCAGATGTGCAGACAGCAGAGAAGCAGACAACAGTTCCGGGGGGGACTCCTGTATAAAAGTGATAGGGATGCTTGTTGTCTCGCTTAGAGGTGTAACTTTCCGAATTTGGTCTAACTTAGAGTATTTGGGATGGAAAGGCATTGTATTGGCCCATTCATGTCAGTTATCGCTTAGGGCTGTGCATAAAGAAATTTACAAAGAAATGCCATGACCTTTAGGGGTCAGTTAAAGCTTCAGTCACACCCACCTTGGTTTCCCTTAGGGATTAATTTTAATTTTCCGACGAGCATCCCTTTAAATGGGCGTTTCCCCCCGGGCAGCAGACATACAGACAGTGAACATGCAGACATGCATACAGCTGACAGACAGACAAACAAGCAGAGAAAAAGACCTGCAGATATGCAGACAACTTGAAGTAGAGAAACAGATAATCAGACAGCAAAAAAGCAGAGATACAGGCAGCAGAGAAGCAGACAAGCGCACAGCAGAACGTGGACAAGCAGACAAAGAGAAGCAGATCTGCTTCCCTCCTGTCTGCCGTCTGCACGTCTACAGCAGCAGGGAATCAGACGTGCAGACCTCACACAGCAGGGAACCAGACATGCAGACAATTGCATACCGCAGAAAGCAAACAAGCAAACGCACAGTCATGGACGTCGCCACAGACCGCAGTTTATAGCAGAAAAACAAGCATTTGCATGTAGACACGCAGACTTGCAGGCAAGCAAACAGCCAACACGCAGACAGGCAGACCGACGTCACGGGTTTGAATCCTGTTAAAATCTTAATTTTTTCCAGGCTTTTTTTCACAACTTCTCGAGTTACTAATGATCTTTCAGATTAATGGTACTTAGAAACGAAAACTCCAAGTTGGCGATGAGATTAAAGCCCATCTCCTCCCATGACACTGGCGTGGTGCTCTTAACTCTGGTGTACGGCGAAACCCACAAAATTTCATAAATTTCCAGTTTACTGATAATTTTTTTCTTTTTTGACAGCCCAGAAGAAGTTGCCAGTGGGGTTATGCAGTTGATTGAGGATGAAAATTACAATGCAGCGGTCATGACGGTGACAAAAACGAAAGGAATTGAAATATTGGAAAAATGGACACCAAGACTGAGAAAGTCTAATCTGTAGGGAAGATATTTTTATTATGAATAATTCATGTCCGAGTTCCAAAAGCCATCACTTTCAAACCGAGGCCACGTCCAAAACCTTTCCTGTGAAAATGAGTTTTATTTTCATCAGCCACCTTCTTCAAAATTCCTTAAATCGTACTTGAGTAGTTAAGACTAATACTTGCATTTAAATGGCGTTTTGAATAGTACTTGAAATTTAAGATGATTCTTTCCTTTTTCTGGAAGATGTCCTTTTAGAAGAGCAATGTTCAATACTCAACGTTCATCTTTTGCGTGTTCATCCATGTGTCTCAGTTATTCTAAGAAAGTTGTCAGGTAGTCAACCATGTCCTTTGCTGTGAAGGGCAGTTTTGATTTTTTTCTCTAGTTTTACAGTTTAAGCGACGAGAAAAGCGCTTAAAAATTAGTCTAATGGCCTTGAAAAGTCTTTGCTTTGTTAATAAGAAATACACAGCTTTCAAAAGAACGACTTGCCTAGTGTTACCGCTGAAGCTTCAAGAGACGTCGTGTCCGCAAGTCTAAGAAGAATAGGCCCCGGATAGGAAACTGAAAAACGGCTATTTTCTTTTCCTTCGAAACAAACACGACAACAGTTTTTTCATTTTTCAAAATTGAAAAACTATTGATTACAACAAAAGATTATTCCAGCAAAGTTGTAGCTGGTTGTATTGTGGGCTAATTAACTCGGTTATTACGGACAACGGACACTTTTCTGTGTACCAAGTCACAGTCTCTCATGCATCGTCAAGTCCGCTTTACGGACACTGGGTATCTGCACACTGTCTATTTTCATTGTAAACATTTTATTTTATTTCTCAGTCGGTCTGACCCTACTGTGGCCCTTACGACGGCCCTTTCATGAATAGCCTGTTACAGGCTCTGAGATAGTCCGCTGAATTGTGCGAGCGCGAACACGAAACTAAAACGAAAAGAAACTGGGGAGAGCAGGGGCGAGAAGGCTCTCTGTCCCTTCCTTTTTCCTTTTTCCCGCCCTAACAACTTTTCGCGTGCGATTCGCGTGCCTTTTACTTCCCCGTCTTCCCCACTATCTGAGAGCCTGGAACTAGCCTACGTGTAGCCGCATCCTCCCCCCCGACAAAGGAGAAACGGAGGGGAGGGTGCGGGTACACGTAGGCTAGCCTGGAACAGGCTATTTCATGAAGTTTTCTGCTTCCCATTTTACAAGTTTCACTTCCTTGGCTTTGTGCTTCAGTCATTCGTTGTTCCTTGGTATATTCATGTCGATAAAACATGTGTCCGTGACTGTTTTCTAAGACCCTTCTTAATACGGACACAGTGGCATGTCCCGTTGGTGTCCGTAGTAACCGGGTTCCACTGTATTTTAAATCATGAAATTGTACTCAAAAAGAGAAAAACTATTTCCAATGAAGTTTGTAAGGAGATTGAAATCAATAAATGAAAATCGGGTGTTTTGATTACGTCTGTGTTCTTAGTTTGTCGATAAGTTGCCGAATAACTCTTTTTCATTGACTCAGTGGATTTTATCCCTAAACTACCAACGCGAACGATTAGCCTGTTAACCCAGGCGTTCATTTCGTGGAGTCTGGCGCGAAGATCTCTTTGTGCCAATCTCCACAATCCGAACGCTTGGAACAGCATGGGCGGACGAAAAGATTGCGGCCAAGGATTTGACCATTAGCCTCCTTGCTCTCGGTTTCTATCTTGAGGTAGACCAAGAGTAGTCCCCTTTTTCCTCAGGGATAGTAGAGCGAGCGAAACGCGAGCGCGCGTGAAAATAAACCCACGCGAGAAAGGCAAGACGCGGCGGTGACTCTCCCCACCGCGTGTCGCCTTTTCTCGCGTGGGGTGATTTTCACGCGCGCTTGCGTTTCGCTCGCTCTACCATCCCTGAAGAAAAATGGGGGACTACTCGTGGACTAATCTCGAGATTAACGTGTGACAATGACAGAAATTGTACACTTGGAAATGGAGCATCATCATACGAACAACATCCCTTGCCCCTCCCTAAACCAGGAGGAGAATAGCTCCCTGCAAAAACTGGACGGTGGTTCTAAGGGTTAAAACTTGTCGAATGGCAGCGTTCAAGTTGCTGTTAAAGCTGTTGAGGCAAATTCAAACCCTAGGCTTTTACACCTTCGTGAAGGGGCTAAGTACTAACAGAAGCTTTTAAAAACAAGCTACATAGCCTGAGTGCTGATCAAAATACTTCTTGAATTTACTAGCTTTTTTTAAGCTTCAAAACGTCGTAAAAAATTGAATTCACTTAAACAGGAGCCGATTACCAGAAACATCTGTAAACCTGAAGAAGGCTGGTATGGCCAGCCGAAATATTGTTGTAAAAAACAATACACGTTGTTTTAAATCAGCTTTGCAGTAGTTTTTGGACTTCTCGTTCTTGGTAAAAAAATATATATGTGTCCATCCCTAGCCTGCGAAAACATCCGTTTCTCCTCGCTCTTCGCCGCTAGGCCATCCCCCTTTTCTTCTTCGTTTACCGTCGAATGCGTTTCCTGATATTGGGTCGGTCGGTCGCATTGAAAAAAAAAAAAAACTAAAAAAAAAATCACAAGAAGTCTCGGAATAGTAGGCCCCCAGGACGACGTTAAAAGTTAACATTCACATATTTGGATTAACAAAATGTACAATATACTGTGAAAAATCTTCATGTTTTTGTTCCTGGTTTTCTCTATGCTGTTACTATGCTCATTTTTCAGATTTAGGGCCTGTTTACATGGAGGTGGGGGACCCCAGGCAGGTGATGTAACCCCCTTAGGCGGAGGTAACCCTCCTGTCCATTTAATCTCTCATTTTACTTAGATCACGTTTACATGATAGGTGGGGTGACCCGCCTAGGCGGGTAGCCCGGTCTGCCAGACCGGGTAACCCTCTCAGCCGGGGTCAAATTTTGCCATGTAAACGTTTCAAGGTGGGGTAACCCGCCTAGCCGGGGCGGATTCGGAATACATCAAATTCGCGCAAAATTCATTTTGGCGGTGGCTTTGCATCATTATTAAAGGTAGCAATAGAAAGCCACAGCACTGAAGGTTGCAGCAAGAGCAGCACGTGAGTGTAGAAGAGCATTAATCGCCAAAAGAAGAGGTTTGACAGCATTTTTTTTGTTTAAGTGCTTAGCGACCATTCAATAATCTTGAAAATGTGCACCCCGGGATGGCGGGGTTGTAAGATTACATGTAAAGGAGGGTTATTTTTTTACCCCACCTAAGCGGGTTACCTCATCTACCTGGGGTCCTCCACTTCCATGTAAACAGGCCCTAAAAGAATTATTTCAAGTGAAAAATGGTGTAACTACTTTTTTTTTTTGAAAATGACAAAAATTTGGGTCGGTCGGACGACGGTAAACGGAGAAAAAAAAGAGGATGGCCTATTCGAAAAAACTTATTTAGCACAGCCGAACATCCACGTGCTACCAGGAGCCTGGTGTGACCACTTCTCGACGTAAGCGACTGACCATCCAAGACACACAAGCAAACTTTTCCACGGAAAGCCCTACACAGCTGTTAAAACCTCCACGTATTAAGCGACAGCGACCAAACGCCCCCGGCAGCCGCCTTTCGCACGGAATTTTTTGTTGACCATCGTGGGGTACTCCTATTCTTAAATTCTCGGGCAAGGACTATTTGCAAAAAACAACAACAACAACAACGAGAGGCGTAGCTGCTTATGTCTGGCGTTAAATTAATTTAAATTGAGTTCGAGTGGTTTGAGTGCGACTGGACGATAACCCAGAGAGAGATCTTGTTAATATCGTTCCTTTTTCAATATTTCAAGATAAAAAAAAAAAACATAGTCAGCAGTGAAAAGCTGATACTTCGACGTGACATGTAGACAAGATGACGTAAGAAGAAAGGGCGAGACGACATCCACGTAGAGGAGGCAACATAAAAAGTACAAGAGATGACATGTACAAGAAGCAGACAACACGATATGACCCCGGGGGGTGGGGGGGTACTCCCTTGTATATCGTTCCTTTTTCAATATTTCATTTAAAAATATTTAAAATATTTCTTTAAGGAATATTTTTTACACATATGCTTTAAATGTGCTTTTCGCTCCATCCCCACCCTACCACACAGTATTTTTTGTATCAGTCTAAGAAATTGCTTCCCGCCATATTAATCGCCGGTTCACGGCGTAAAGGCCTAGAAAAACTCTGCGAAGTATTTGAACGGTCAGAGCCAATATAAACAGAGATTCCAACCCTCCCGTTTTGGCCGGAAACCTCCCGTTTTCGGCGAATATTTCCAGCCTCCCGTTTTCGCTTAATATTCTCTCGTTTTATAAAACTCTTCCTAGCCAAAGAAAGATAATGTTTTCTTTGTTTAACCAATCTTTTTTAGCACGATAGTTTGCCGTTTTTCTGTGGTTTCTCATTCCCTCCTGGTTCACCGACTCACAAAACCTCGGCCCGATTCTCCCATATGTTAGGCATTTAGGCCCATTTGGCTTTGTGTGAGGGTGTTCCGGGTGAGAATATATTACAATTCCAACCTCTTATTAAATCTTTTCTTATGGTTTAGAATAACTACATCCCGAAACGGAGAATGTTTTGATCAAAGCTGTGTAAATCGAACTGAATCCGTGCATGAAACCTTTCGTTTCCTGTATTTATCTCACCCATTGTATAGAATATGGGTGAAAATCTTCATTATGAATCAGTATATCTCAAAGAGCTACACAACGAGCAAGAATACTATTGACCGACAATATACAGAGCGGGGCAGCTGTAGTGTCAACTATTACAAGTTTTTATTCATAATGGTGGAATTTGAAAAGTTACTACTATACAGCCCCGACCAGGTACTCATTTTTCTTGTTACGAACGTCTTCCAAAAGGGTACAATGTTCTGAGTAGTTTTAGTGTCGTATTGAACCCGGTCAAGCGCGATGCAAACGGATTTTTCAAGGTTCTCTTACTCTCCTCGCATCTTTTGATTTCGCGACATCCTGTCCAAAAATCAAAGTTTGGTGCATGCGCAGTAACGGGATACCGTTCCTTTTAAAATTCAGTTGACAGGGTTGGGATCTCTGTTAACTTTCTTGCAGTTTTGTGTGATCATGCGACGATTAGTACGTGGAGGGAACGGTTCCATCGTGATACGAAATTACTCTGTTTAGCTCGTCCGTTGTTTTTTTTTTTATCATTGACTATTTTAAATACCTTTGAAAATAAGAAAGGTTTTATTAAAATTCTAGTTTATAAATCTGTCATTGTTATTATTCAGATCGATGTGATCTTTTTGCATTATAACCAGTGTTTAGATTCAGATTTTCACAGATTCCCATAAATATGGCATTTGCAGCTTAATTGCAGGAAAATGAAATTTTGGTATTGTCCCGGGGTGGGCATTAGCACACTGCGTGGGTGTTTTAAAGGAACTGCCCAGTCCCACTGTGGGGGATCTGGTAGGCTGGTAATTTCATTAAAACGTAGAAAGAAAATCAACCTCGTTTCCGGGCTTTTTCCCTCAGAAATTGCGTGAGACTCGCTCCTCCCAAATACTGGGCGCGGATAAAACACTGGTAATGAGGTTGGCAGAAAATTTCGTGATGACGGACGACTAACGAAGAGAGCATTATCAGCAGTCATAATCGGGGTAGGAGACTTTAAGTGCAGGGTCCACGCGGTTCCATCGAAATAGCCAAATGTGCTAATTTTAGAACAAACTGCACCACCCTCAACGTCACAAACTCGCGCAGGAACCCTGCAAATTTGCGCGGCTCTCGTGTGGAATTTCGGGAGATGGGTAATCTTCTTCCCATTTTTCTTTTTTTTCTTTTGATTGTTCTCTTAATTTTCCAAGTGCTTAATATCTCCATATACAGTGCATGCACAGTGGAAGAATAACCAAGAGCCACCTAATGTTATATAAAAATTACTAGAAATGCATTTATCGAAAAAACCTCGCGAAGCTGTAATGGGCCAGCAGTAAGAATAAAGGTAAACAAGCCAAATGGGGAAACTATGACTTAAAAAAAAAAAACAAAAACAAAAACAAAACAAGAGTCGAACCTGGACCATCTGCGCCAGGCTGCCAAGGATAACGTTAAGTGGGAGAATTATTATTTTTAATGTATTTTCCTGTGAAATTCTGCCGATAGACGCTTTTTGAAGCTGGTGAAGCATTGAAAAATATATATTTGAGGAAAATGAGACACAATTATTTGCTGTTGTTGTCAACGTTCCGCCCTCCTTTTCCCCCAAGTTTTTTTCTTTTTTCCTCCGAACGGGATATTCATCAACATCACTTCGTAACTGGATTTGTCAAAATTAAGGAAGGTGCCCAACAATGGGAAGTATTAATTCCCAGATAATGACTATGTGGGACAAGTAGATCATATCAGCGGCTATTGAAATCCAAAAAGAAAACTAGGGGTAACCACACATTTTTCAGAGATAACTGCGCTTCAATATGGAGAAAAACGCC